AAGTGAAATGGTTAACACGTATCGTCTGAAGTTGGTGCTCCATAGTTTCGGTTTTTCTATCTGGGCAGTGAACGCCTTGTCCCACTTTTAGCCATGGGACTCCGTCGCTAGGCACCTCAACACTGGTCTTTCATTTTGCCAGTACTGTTGCATGGAACCTAGCCCTTTTGGCTGCAAATCGTGCATGTAATTTATGTTGAGGTCTTCGATATAACGAACCAGGCGGTTTCAAGAATATCATATGAATTGCCTTCTTCGGAGGTAACAACCGTCATCGGCCGCCCTAGTGGACCTTCTTCTGCCGTTACAAATAGGTTTTTGGCTACTGTTCCCCCTCTGAACCCGCAAAATGTCCCACTGCTATTCTTCCTAGGGCGACACAATGATTGATCACAGGATCTATGGATGAAATTTCGTGCTCGAGCAGATCAGTCTACTCTTGGTGCAGTGATATTGAGCAACGCCCTGATATGCGAAGAGGATGACACTTGGCGAGACTCGCCAAATGCACTTTCTTGGCAAAGCCATTAGGAAGACGGCCCAGGGAGAGACGACGAAGTATATGCCTCGGTTATATTGAGACATGGCATTGTCACGCATTGAATGTGGATCATTTGGCAGTGTTGTCATTCAGCGGCGGACCGGGGCCGTTTAAAGGGTCTTCAGAAATAGCTGACCAACTAGTCTTAAGGTATAACGAGCATTATAACTTCGCCATTTTCGGAGGCGATAGACCGGCAACAGTGTGGTCGTACTGCCATTCATATGCCACTAGCAGTGATAACCATAGCACCATCATCTGCCAGCATCATCTGTCTCCAATGATCTCCTTTTGTTGTAGGGGTGCCGGAGTAGCAACGGCAGAAAGAATCCTTTCCATAAATGCAGTAAGAATCCAGGTGAAATGGGAGACAGGTTAAATGGTGGTTGAATGTTGCTGAATGTTCTTTTTCTTCCGGCTGGGATTGGACATTACTAATATGTAACGTGATGCTACCTGTTGTCGTAATTTTGTCCAAAACTTATGCCAACTTTTGCCTCCCCTCATGTCGGCAAATAATTTATAATTATGACGTCCTGTATTGGGAAATAAATATTGAATAATAAATGTTCTCAAAGTCAGAGGGATGACGAATTAGTGTATTACTCTTGACCACTGAAATTTTTCCGAAAAGGTATTTCTTTCCATATCTTTATTTCTTTCATCTCGCATTCCCGACCTTTCGTGTCTGTGACTCATGAAGTGTTATCGATTCCCTGTTCGGAAGAAAACGGCTTGAAGACTGGATTTTACCAAGTTTTTATCAGGGATTAGCACGGATATGTAGTCCCAGAATTTTTGGAAGGTTTATTGTCAGTGCTCGTCTAAGCATAACTTCGCAAATTTTTAGTTCTACCAAATAAATACGGAATTTCGTATCCTCGTAGCCTCGCTTCTTTTCACAGCGTACACTAATGCATGCAAAATAACTATCCGAATAAATGCATAAAACTGGCCAGTCGTAAGTTTGTGCTGTGTGCGAGTTGTTTTGTGTATGATGTCCAAAGTACACTTGCACAGTGATTCGACTGAGCACTGGAAATGACTTGCCTATTAATCAGGAAAATCGAAGAATATTTATTGTTGCCAATAAGTATCTTTATGATTGATTAATTAACTGCATTGTCACTGTCCCCTCTGTTTCTCAGCATATGCAAAAAATAGGCAGGGCTTTCAGCAGAAACTCTTCTTGCCACCGTAGACAAAAGTTAACACTTTAGTACCCAGAAAAGGGCATAGTCATCGAAGGACAGTGGTGCAATTGTTTTCTGTAATGTCTGACTTCATTACCAACCCACAACGAAATTACGGAACTGTTTCTTAGAAACTACTTACTTTCCTAATTGCATATGTACTTCTTCTCCTTTTGTAAAATGGACCTGCGCAAATGTCGATCATTTCTGAAAACTGTCAATCTGCATGGCAGGTTAGCTGCCGTATGTGAATGCCATGAGCACGGTGGTAGATCAGACTGTAAAATCTGTTGTACAGTTTAGTAAATCCCTTATCAATTCTCTGCGTCCCGCACACTAAGCTATTTCAAAAGGCACTTAAAGGTCTCTATACATTTGCATCTATAGGAGGAACGAAGCATGCAAAAATCTGTAATGCGCAGATAGCCTAGATCTTGCAGAACGAATAACAGCAAGGGCTGAATCGGCTTGAATAGATTTTCTGATTTTAACCTATATTTGTGGCTATTCGTCTGTATTAACTTTCTACCCATCACTGTTTCTTCTCGCATTACAATATACTTTGTTTATTCTGTTTTTTCAGTTTTCATCACTGCTCTACTCGGCTACGGATTCATGCTGCCGTACGACCCGTTAAGTCATTGACCCACACCATGGAAGTCTCAATTACGCATGCTAATATTAACAGCATATCAGATTAAATTCGCTTCAACAGTTGATTTTTCACTTTCGCTTTTGTGCTTTGCATCAGGTTTGAAGCAGAGCTTCTTAGCTTCAGCTTCTTTGTTCACTGTTCAAAACAAGCACGTGCAGGAAAAGCCTTGCAGTATTTTGCTGCACTGACACGTGTTTGTGTTTATCTGGGTAAAATCCTGTTTGCCTGTAATTTTCCTATTCTTACTCTTTTTTTAAATATAAACTTTTGTTTATTAAGCTTGGTTTTTCATTTGTGATATAAAGTTTTTTTTATGATTTTGTACACGTCGAGGTGTTTTAGACTTGAGTGCAATTTCTCACTTGGTTATTCTTGTTATGAATTATTGGATTTAAAGCTACTTTAATACATTAAAATTCTGCTCATTTACTTTTAATACAATAAATCTTACAGTACTATCTAAATTTTGTTTTTAGTCCGATCACTCAGATAATCACCGGCCAGCAGGGATTATATCAGCAGTACAATGTAAGCAAGAAGAAAAGCATGACAGTTGGCGAATACGAGCTTCTGGCCAAAAGCGGTAAACATGCTCCTCCCCCGTTTCAAAACCTTGAAGATTTGGAACGGTAACATAGCTTTCTGCTGAACATATGTCTTGTCGTCAAATTTAATTTCTCTGTCGAGGCCTGTTTCAGAACAGTTAGCAGTGTAGCAGTTTGCTAATTCAGCTTAAAACTTGCCAATTTCACGATGTTATGTTCCCTGATCTTGTAACAGCAGTACACTCCGTTATAGGTATAAAGAATATAGTACGAGAATACAACACTCGTATATTTAAAAATACAGTAAAACCTTAACAACTTCAAAATTCTTTAATTTCTTGAATTTGAAAATTTGTTCAAAATTATTTTTTGATTCAGAATATTATGTAGATAGTATTTACATAATCAAAGATTGCTCCCATAATTTTATTTAGGATATTATCGATGTTTCGAACTATTCGAACTGTGTCAAGTAACAGCAATATAAAAAAAATCTAACAAAAGTACAATTGGCGAAATCAAATTTTGGATTATGGGACTGAGTTAAGCTTAAAGACGACAGCTTGTGATTATAACAATCTCCAAAATCGAATTTCATGCGTATTGCACCTGATCCTAGCTGCTAATTAGCAACGCAGCCATTTGTGGAGCACCACGACTTTCTTATATCTGAGCGCTTAACAGCGTCAGCCATGCATCTTGCGTCATTATGCTGGCTACAGTTGTACCTAGCTGGTTGCACAAAACTTTTTCAAGGGTCAGTACTCCTTTTACGTGTTCGCCAGTACGGCCAGAAACACCAGTTCCTACTCCAGAGCATGTGAAAAGCCCATAACCCGTCTGAAGCCGAATTTCACCGCATATTGCACCACCCTGTACTTGCAGTTGGCTGTAAGCATGTTCTAGCTTAAACACCCCTGTTAATGGATATTTTTGGAAAGCTTAAATGAATACTTGTCCATGATATACCATGGGAACGAATAGTATTGCACTGGCTACTAAAGATCGAGTATTAAGTTCGTGCGTTGGTGGTCATACTGATAACTGCACATACCATGGTCTATTTATAAACAATGCACGCAGTTAGTCAATCGAATGATTGAGTGGTAGTGGCGGTTTGGCTCGTGTCTCATAGAACTTTGTCAGCATAGAAGATTTTCTCATTTCGAAGTTCATTCCGCTGCAAATGACCATTTTCACAGATGAGAAACTCGTTTCCCTCTTTTTCCTTGAAACACGGACCAAGATTTTGATAATGGTCAGTCGTATAGTTAACCAGTTGTTTTCAGTGTGTATAAATAAGCCCTGTTATATTTCAGCCAGTAAAATGATGCGAAATGCATTTAGCAATGTAGGCGTCTAAATACGTTGCGCCTGTAGTTACTTAGATGGTTTACCTCGGTAACTGAGATCAAGAGAGCAGTGCAGTATGTCGTGAAATTCAGTTTTGAAGGAGTTGTGGGTATTTAGTAACGTATTCAGGCATAATATTTCATTGTATAACAGTAGCTTGTGAATTTAATTTCTACTGTAATATGCAGATTTTACGTCATGGTCATAAGTCAGCTAACAAATAAGCATTATGATCACCTGGACTACCATGGTATGTCACTTATTAATTGTTGATTTGACTTTACAACTGGCTGAAATTGGCTTTCTGATGCGAATCGCTGGGCTCCTGCGTTTTGCACAAACTCCGGAATTCACATATCCTTGGTTTAGAGCAACTGCTTCTCCAAATTGAGAAGTCATAACTGCGATGGTTTGGGCATGTGTTGCGAATAGCCTCATAAAGGAAGGCGAAACAACTAGTGTTTGCCCAGCCGATCAGCCGAAGACCCCAAGGGCGATTATGAACGACCTGGGTCTAACATCTTGACGAACTATGCTCCAGGCTCGTCTTTTCTTTTGTCGAATCTCAGGTAGTGGTATAAGATCAATTACGTTGGTGACAGGTCTGACGCTACTGTCCCCGCGACCCGAGAGGATAGGCGGTAATCGAAATTTTGACTGTCTGTGTGACTTTCTGCCCAATTCTTTGCAGACCATTTTGAGACCAAATTTACTTGCAGTGACAAGAAGAAAATCACACATTTTTGGTATTCAAATTCTCACAGTTGAGTAGATAGCCTAGTCATAAAGCCCAGTTTACAGTTGTGAACAATCGCATTTTGAGGACTTGACTCTCCTTTCATACTTTAAAAACTGATTTGAAAGAAAATCTAAAACGAAATGCTCAATTAATTTACATTGGCCAAGACTTTAGTAAACCAGCTCTTAGTAATTACCACGAAATCGAAGTTTCACGAAAATGGGGCTGTACCGGTGTTATTCGTGGTGAAACAGTAAGAAAGCCGGACATGCCAATGGTTAGAAAATTTCTTTTCCTTTTTTGTCAAACAGGTTAGTCGAATGACCAACCCGCACTGCTGCCCATGAGGTTATCGCTGGATAGAAACTGCTGCCACAAGTTGAACGGGTCAAAGTTTTGTACTCGATGTAAAATGCTAGTTCATTGAGGTGCCACCTTCACTTTCACGTGATTTACGTTTATTTTTAAGAGCAAAACTATGCATTGTTATTCATGCAAATTCTTTACTCGGCTTTGTTCATAGAAATTACTGGAGAGGCATTACATTTAACCCTCCTATTTATGGAGCCGACACGCCGGGTACGCTTTACGATGCGGACGTGAACGAGTGGAACATAGGTCGTCTTGGCACTATATTGGATCTGATACGCTCCGACTACAGAATCAGGATCGAAGGCGTCAATACGCCGTATCTGTACTTCGGTATGTGGAAGGCGACATTCGCATGGCATGTTGAGGACATGGATTTGTACTCAATTAATTACTTGCATTACGGTGCTCCAAAGTATTGGTACTGCATTCCTCCTGAACACAGTCCCCGCCTAGAGCGGTTAGCGGCCAGCTTCTTCAGTCAGTCAGCCAAAGAATGTCCGGCATTTTTACGGCACAAAATGACGCTTATATCGCCGTCGATTCTGCACAATTATTCAATCCCCGTCAATCGGATTATTCATAATCCAGGCGAATTCATGATTTCATTTCCTTACTCCTATCACAGTGGCTTCAACTGTGGCTACAACTGCGCCGAAAGCACCAACTTTGCCTCAATAAGGTGGATTGACTATGGCAAAAAGGCGCGACTGTGCACGTGCAATAAGGACAGTGTCCGCATTTCGATGGATGGCTTTGTGAAACGCTTCCAGCCAGAACAATACGACGAGTGGAAGGCCCACGAAGGTAGCAGAGCCTTCCTCCACGACAGCGCTGAACTAGTCGGCAGAGCGGACTATGACTCGCCTCCCATTGTTACCGTGCTTCGTAAGTTTTCTTCTTCTTGTACTCATGGTCGTATAGCGTTTATGTGCATTTAGGTAAAACTAGCATCAGCAAGCGGTATTTGGCATCATACAAATCTCCCGTTAAAAAGAACAAAAAAAGAAACTTGGCTGTTAGTGCTGAATTGTCCTCATCTGTTGTTGCCAGACGCAAAAGTAATACGCAGTCGAAAATAAAACACTCAGCAGTGGAGATGCCGATCGCTTCTAGGTCACACTTGGTCGTTGAAACGGAATGCACCAGTGGGTTGACAGGGAATTATAAGAATCAGGGCGATCGGTACAGTTTTGGATCTTGGGCTAGGTCTCTGGAGAAATTGTGGCACTTTACCGTTAGTGATATTAACGCAGAGATCGAACACAATGCGAGGATGGCCCTCAGTGAACCGCACTGTTGCCTCTGCCAGGTTTTCGTCTCTTCATCGATCGCTTGTCGTCTGTCGCAAGTTCCCACTACTAGTCGTCAGATCCTTAACGAACTGTGCTTCACCAGGAATCCGAACGTCATTACGCTTAGTAAAAGGTCCCAAGCGGGCACCACGAAAGATGATAGTATGCTCATCGAAGAATCAAAGAATGCGCGGTTGATCTCTTGCTGTGAATGTGCCATCACCGTCCACGCATCCTGCTATGGCGCGAACCTCGATTCGATTGCCACCTCTTCGCAGTGGAAATGCGACCGCTGTGAGGTATTGGCTTCGAGTCTATTTTCTCCTCGTTTGCTCTCATGGATATCAAATTTCTAGGTTGGTGTTGACAACGCTGAGTGCCAGTTGTGTTGCCTGCGCGGAGGTGCTGTCAAGCCGACCACCGACTTTACTTGGGTCCATTTGATCTGTTCGTTGCTCACCCCCAACGTTCGCATTCTATCACCGGTCAGTAAATCACCGGTGGATCTGAAGGTAACTCTTCGATTTTGCGGAAAATGGTCAACGACTTCCGTTTCGTATCTTTTGCGACAAATGGCGAAAATATCATCTACCTATTTTTCGAAAACTCTTGGGATCATAGTTGTGTTTGAGGCAGTTTTCCAAATTTGATGCAGATTTCTCCTAAGATAGAGAAAAGCTTATGTTCATGGGTTCTACATCCGTTCTTTTGAAAATTCGCCATAGAGGAAAAGATACTTGGCCACGACATAGAGGAACGCCACTAATTTTTAGATAGCGACATCACAGTTTGTGTACACGAAATCGAATGTGTCACGAGCTTAGAAGCGTAACGCAATAGACCATGCTCTGTTGTCACCTTTATGACCACTCTTAGACCTTAGCAGTAGTCCCGTATAGTGACAGCCTAGCAGTCACTCTTACTCTTTGTAGCTGTTTTCGTATTTTCTACCCAGAACAGCTCCTTTTAGTTCCAAAAGGAAGATACTGTTTCTTGGACTGATCAAAAATGCCCAGTTCCAATTTAGTACGCAAACGTCCAACCATATGAACGGTACAGAGGGTAGTTCAACTCTTGATCACCACATATACTGTTACTAGTTTGTTTCTTCTAAAGCACTATATAAAAAACAATTTACCTCAGCCCGGATGCGATCGCCTGTTCAGCCAACTGGCTGAAGTTAGATGCTGAAAACATGTACTTTGACACGAATATGTTTGTGTTACTGTACCTTTGCGTAGTGATTTATATACCATTTTAATGATTCAGGCAGTTTTCCTGTGCAACACCAGTCACAATGCGGTTTGTATTTACTGTCATTCGAAACAAGGCAAGCCGATTATGTGCGCCTATGGCAATTGTCAGCGGTCATTTCACGTGACCTGTGGCTACTACGCCGGCGCCATTTTTGAAGTAAGGGACTGGCCGGAACTCGTGACCGCTATGTGCAATTTGCATAAGATGTCCTCCGTCGATTCCAGGCCCTTGCGGATCGGTGACAGCGTGATTGCGCGGTACGACGACGACTCTTACGTAAATGGTACGTGAAATATTATCTGTCGTATTTTAAGATGGGGAAAAGTAATTTCTAACGCGTCATCTGACCTACTGTATTTTTAATTTATTATAAATAATGCATTAACGAAAATATATCAGGTATGGCATTATCAAATTATACTTGACGATTTCTTTATATAATAGATATTTTACACTAAATAGGACAAAGGTGAAATTTAATAAGACATGACTTTCTCCTGTAGAGTCAGTTAAATTGTGAAAACTGTGAGAAAGCTCAAAAGCAAGTTACAGAATGTTTTTTTTCACGGCTTTCTTTATCTACAGAGCGCAACGGGCGCGATGACGAGAAAATATCTTCATCATCTTCCATCGCCGCTTCTCCTTTCGGGTCGCGGGACGAGAAAATATTAGGCTCTTTTTCAGTTTATAAACTGAGTGTTTCTTGTATTCTCTATTTTAATCTACTTCATC